AGAAGAGAGAGAGAGAGTGCTGTAGATACAGCGAAAGTCTGCTATCTGTCGGTACATGTGGAGTGAGAGCTGAGTAGCGATGGAACTTATGGCTATGAACAAGGATGACTTATCTGGTCTCCCTAAACAGACCGCCGGGACAGGAACGCCGGCCCTCCAAGTTATAAAGATTACCCTGCGCATAATTCCAGAAAAGATAAATATTACCTTATCCTAACCTTAACACTAGCCCTGAAATAAACCCTAACTATATAACTAACTTCAACCCTAAGCTTAACGCTAATCTTGAGCTTAACCCAGATTTTCCTGGAATTTGGGTCCAATCCACTTTTATTCCGAGCGGTTCCCGTTCTTGTGTCGGAGACCATATAAATCATTCTTATCTGCCTATGTTTTACCATGTCTCAAATATATCGCCCGGAGACCAAAAGGGGCGTAGGCTGAATAATGTCTCTGTCTTTGGTCCCCGTAGTGTTAAATGTCTTTTTTTAAGATTTCATTCCCTCCCTCTTGTTCCGCTCGTGTGCACACAGGTCACCGTGACGAAGCTTATCAAGAGCGCCGATAAAGTAACTTTCTTAAAAAGACACGAACTGTAATTTGAACCGCCTTTCGTTGAAACCTCGCCTGAACGCATGTATGCGAACACGGGTTGTCAGGTTTCTCCTGGCTGAATTCTACTACACACACGCACCCAAATACGCACTTGTACAATTTTGTCACAGCTCAATGGATTTCCTGACAAATTTTAGTGCAAATTCCTCTCGTCTACACCGGCTTTTTTCAATAAGCACTGGAGTAGCTGTTTCTGGCTTGGTCGCCATCGTCAACGAGCCAGACCCCCACTAGAGACTGATAAATTTTGGTAAAATAGTGCATGCACTAATCTCCAGACGCCATCGACCTCTAGCAATTTCAAACAGCGTGCTCATTTAGCCACGTAGGATTGGTATTAATCATTCACCGACCGCTGTATCAGTGATTCTGGGGTTGAAATGGTGTTGCATTTATTTTTTCCCCGTACTTTCTTACTTTTTTGGTTTCCTTAAACGGCGGATAAAGTTAGGTTAGGAGGCAGTCTTGTTCCTTAACTTTGCATCGTCAGTGCCCTTATTGATGTTTAATTAACTGATCACTGCTCCGCCCCTCTATTCGCAGCCCACGTCGACGAGAACGCGCACTTGAGTGAGACGGCCCTAGCCGGCCTAGCGAGTTACGAAGACTTCTCCTCAAAGAAGAACACCTTACGACAAGTGGCTGAAGAACCTGAGGCCCCGTTGACATCTTTTCAGAGAACTCTGATTCCCCACAAGGATAAGATGCTCCTTCACGTGAAGGGTAAGACTTACAAGCCCCACGCACACATACACAAACCACTGATTCCCGTCTCTCCTCCATCTTTTGAATTGATTTCGAATTCACATACCACACAACCTTGCAAACTTTGTAAGAGTTTCGCTGTCTCATGAAAGGTCAGTCAAAATTCTGAAATTTGATTTTTATTCGAAAAAATAACTTGAGTATGATATTACTGTTAATTACCGCGTAACATACTCCAACTTCTGTCAGGCTTTTAAAAAAGATATCTCTGGCCGCCTTCACAAAATACATTCTGTAAAAAAACTACTTAGGAAGCAGGACTTTTCTGATTGATCTTCGATGCCGTTGATTCGTTTTTTTAACATGTAGGAAAACATTCTTCCTTGTACGCATTTGGTAGCAAATAACGTTTTCTTCAACTTTTGTCTTTGAAGAAAGTGTAATTCTAAGAATAAGACCTTTGCCAATACAAGCGAACATGCGAGTCCAGGAAGTAATTGGGAAGAAGACGACTCGATAGCTGGTACAATACTTTTATTCGCCTGACGTTTCGACATCCGTCGCGGTTTCGACCCCTTTCTGCTAATGTCTCTGATGATGAATCCGCGACGGGTGTTGAAAAGTCAGGCGAATAAAAGTATTGTCCCAGCGATCGAGTGATCTTCTTCTCAATAAGACCTTTTTTTAAGACCGTGCAATGTCTATTCATAAAGCTTCGCATGTGTCCATTTAGTAATGCAGCTCAAAGAGTATTCACTATAATGCGCTTCCATAAAAAATATGAGGGCTGTGTGACTTCCGCCTAATATCGTGTGGTAGTTCTCAAATGGAATTTATACGGCCTACAATTTGGAAATCCTAAATATTTTGATAAAACTAAAAGATACCCTCCCTTCAAGCATAAATTTACTGAGGGTGTAATTTTATACTGAATGAATGCTCTGAAGAATATTGTTGTGTATGTTTTCTATCAAATATATTTGAATTGATAAGGGCAACGAAACTGAACGAGAAAAAATAATAGAAGTAAAAATGCGTGCCCAAGGTTCTTGTTGTACAGAAGAAAAAGATGTGATCACTAGATCGAGAATTGTATTATTCTGGGCTTTCGGCACCGCTTTTCCCTACCGTTTCCTCTTTTATAATTTCTTTGACGATGGCCTCTTGTGTAATGCCGAAAGCCCAGAATAATAAAATTTTCGACTCATTGATCGCGTCTTTTTCTTCTAAAGAAAAAAATAATATTCTTTAAGTAGTCATTTTTAGAGAGCGTAGCCTTTGCAGGCGGTCGGAAATATCTTGAGATTATGTTGCAAGATAATGTATGCTACGACCCTACTTAAGTGTTATCTCAAAACGAAGGCCTTTTTCCGAATTTCGGTTAATGCACTACACCTTGCTACATTTGCCTACCTTTCCCATCTCACAGGTCGGCGTCACGTCCAAGTCCGATTGGTGGAACCGGTTGCAGCCTCGGTGAATTCTGGCGACTGTTTCCTCCTCCTCTGCGAATCTGACATGTTTGCATGGATGGGTCGTTTCGCAAACATCGTGGAGGTTAATAAAATTCGCGACCTGGCTGCCTGGATTACTAAAACCCGCGACATCGGATTTCGTGGATCTGTCCTGCGAAATACGCCCGAAGGCTACACGGCAATTGAGGAGGGTAGGACCACCGGCCCTGTGGTTGAGGCGTTCTGGCGGGCTCTGGGTGCCGCGGCGGACGGCAGAGCAAATGGTACGGTCGGCTTCTCTTGTTATCTTTCTTCTTCGTCTTCTTCTTCTCTTTCTCTCCCCTTTCCTATCCCACTCTTTCCCATTTCCGATGTCCTTTCCCGAACTTGGCATCAAATTCTCCCCCGCCTTCTATTCTCACTCCCCCTCCGACACATCTCCTCTCCAATTATTGCTGCCCTCAGACATACTGCGTCTTCACATTTTGTTTGGTCAAGCCGCCCCTTTTTCTTCGTCACTTCCAGTGATTTCTGGTACCATGTGCTATGAAGTATTTCCTATTTACGTCAGCAAACTGCACAGTAATTCCAGGGTTCGGAGGGTTAAAAATGAACGACGTGTCACCTGTCATTGCACATCCAGACCCGTTCTGCCCCTTGGAGGGGAGTCGTAGCAGGATGGAATGAAGGACTCCTACTGGGCCAGGCCCAAGGGATGTTGACGATATATGGGAGAATAGTGAGTGCAGTTGCCTCCCATTTGTTCTCCAAAATCTCGCTAGTTTCCTCTCGGGGAAGAATGATTGTTTAAGCTTGGTAGCAGGCCATAAATTTTAATACTGCCGCGTCTCTTGACCAGGGCGCAAACCATCCAGTTCACCGTTTCGCCAGCATTTTGAGCTAACACATTAAATCTAACAAATGTTGTTCGCAGGCCTGAACATAAGGTGTACAACTTGGCTCAAAATAGACGATTCGGATAAACACAAACTGTTAGAAACCACAAATATTTTCCCAATAACATAAAAGTTTATCTACTCTGTCGCGACTGAACGATTTTGTCCAATGAAAGTCTTCTCGTTCGCTGTTTTATTGCGGGCAATTTCCCCAGCGAGTAGTTTTCTAGGTTCTTGAAGAAATTAGGGTTGCAGGGAGGTGATGTGATTCATTTGGATAAGAATGCATTTAGTAAGTCACTTACTTAGGCTCCTGGAGCGTCTTTTGTGAAACTCGCGGTAGAATGTTGCCATGGAGACAAATGGGACCTCTGCGGCTGATCAATATCGGATGTTTATTGCGCAAAATTTGATGCATTTCTTCAATTTCATGGCAGTCTTTCGCAGCAGTTGCTAAAGGTACCTGCCACAGACCACAAGCAGCTGCTAGTGCCATTTTTGGACACAAGATCGGTTTAGCGAAATGATTTAGTGTTTCGCAGCGGTGCTTATCATCGGTAGTGTCATACAAGACCCACATTTCGTCACACTTCTCAATGTCATCTTTTTTGTTGTGCAAAGAATCTAGCTATTTTTATCAAATGCACTGAGAATTCGCTAATCGATGTATTTTAGCCTTTCTGATGCGATTCATTTGGCAGAATTCAAATCTCTCGCTATCGCTGTTAGTGATGCCCACAGGACAGCTGCAAGCCCAGGTGTTTGACTTTCCAGCTCATATGCATATTATCTTTCACCGAATGGTCGTCGCCTTTCTTTCAGCGATTTTTCTTCGACAACTTCTTGTGTTATGTTTGATTTCTCCTATCTTCAGCTCTCTGCGTCTGTCATGTTCTCCAAAGACAGTACTGAACATGTTACCGCTAGGCCTACAATTGCTTTTATCTGGATATATTTCATCA